TCTTGATTGAAATACAAGGAGTCCGAACATAATCAATGAAATACATATATGAATGTGCCTAAAGACATCTGAAATAGCCTTTTCGATGTAAAATTTAATGCTGAGTACGAATATGAGGTCAGTTTTCCTCTATGTACACAAGAAACCAAGTTAAATGTTGATGTTTTTTGAAAAAAAAATTCTAACTTACCATCCTCTCAAACACCCTTCAATGAAGATAATGTTTTCTTCTACAGGATAGACTTTGAATAAGTAGAGTCACATAACAAATTTTCGACTTATTTTGTTGAAATTGATCGCACGATAAATTTTATCTCTGCATAAGGAACAATAAAGTATTTGTGTTTTACAAATCGAACAGTTTCTTGTTTTTTTTTATACAATTTCTAGCTGTGTTCTATACTGTAACAACGGTCAGCGGTCATCAAATAAGCGTTACACCTGATCATTATATTCGTGTTGAAAACAATGGATATATAATTGCTTCTCAATTAACATTAAACTACTCTCTTTTTGTTGCACATTTAAACCATCCAGTTCGTATTCGTTCAATTAAAAAAGAATTCAAAGCGGGTCTTTTTAGTCCTGTTACCTTTGCTGGTACAATTCTTGTTAATGATGTATTTGCTTCGTGTTACTGTCTTAACAATCTTCGCGGTACACACTATGAAAAACATCACTTATATGCACCATTTCGTTTATGGTATTACATAGCAAAATACTATTTACGATTTGGTAGTGACATTTATGACATGCCGAGAGATAATATCCATTGGGCCATTGGTATCTACGTTCACTATGGTCACTATGTCGTCTTTATTTATCGATCGTTGCGTGCTCTATTCCTTATGAGTTTGATTGAATTTTTTATTCGCATTAGCGAAATTATTCATCCGATCTTGATTAAACATGTTTATTATTAAAAGACGCGGGACTCAAGACATACTAGTGTAACATTTGACATTTTTTTTGCTGACATCAGCACAGCATATGAACTAAATCGACTACCATAAGAACTATATATAAACCTAAGCCAAATGATGTGACGTTCTTCAGCATTTTATTCAACAGAATTTCCATGCTAACCTAATAATAATATAATAAACTCCATACTAACTTATATTAGTAAATTCTTATTAAGAAATATGGTACCAGATCGTATAAGAAAGAAGTAGGAAGTTGCCAGTAAGAAACCAAGAAAATCAAATTAATTCAAGTTCTTAACTCTTTAAAGCCAAGGAGTTATTTTCTGATAACGGGAGAAAGCTGACGACAAAAATAGAAATTATGGACCTTCAGCATACTCGTAACATAGCTAAAAAGAATCATATAGTTCTTCTAGAGTTATTGAATATCTTTTGAAAGAAATATTTGACTTTACAGAAGGATCAAAAGAAACGAAATTTGAGTTGGAATTTTTTTGGCATAAATGGAATTCATGATCTTTAGATAACCCAAAAATTGTCAGCCAAAATCAATACTCTCTTGTTAAGAGCTTAAAGAAAAAAATGCCGAAAATTCACACAATGAAGCTTTTTTAACGTGCTGTATTCCGAGATGAAAGCATATATTTCATATTAAAAATGCAAAGGCATTCAGGAAATAATGAATTCTACTTATGAACGATATTTCAGATCGAATTTTCGTTCTTTAGATTCTTCTAAATTCTACCTAACGAACACTTTTGTTAATATATCATATGGTGCCAATAAATTACTCTCTATAAAGATGGCTTATCACCAAACCTGTATTCAGGACAAGACTCTTTTAAGGTTTCATTGAAACTTCTGTAACCTAAAAATGAGTCGGCTAAGTCTGGGTGACCCTCATTTAAGCTAGACAGAATCGTACGAAATGTCAAAGGTTCTTCCACTGGACATAAATGTGGTAGAGAATCTATTTTGTGGAACTCACATATATGTTCGAAGAAAATTATGAGTCTAAGTTTTAAGGAGACTTTTTGCAGCTCCTACCCTCCTCCCTATTACAGGCATCAATTAGTATCTATTTTCCACTAATGAGGCATGGCGCTAATTAGAGCTTATGTTGATCAGTAATTAAGCTAATTAGACTACTCTTTCCCTCATATTTTCGTTCAAAGAATCTAAAAAACGGTATCTAGCTATTACAGACACTTGCAACCAGTGTATCAGCGTATTACAGACATTAGAAACCAGCTAAAGATTCCATTACAGAGATTAGCAAATAGTTTATGGTCCCCTTCTGACACCTTCCTTTCCATAACAGGCTTCAGCGATTCAGGCACACATACGTCAGGCTTGCTAGATTTTTGTTCGAAGTCGATCAAGCTATACTTTTGAAAAGAAATGAATAACTGTGCTGGTAAATTCCTTGAGATACATAATAGATGGGGGGGGGGGGTGATATCTACTGCACAGCTCGTCTATATTTAAATCCGACATACTCTTCTTTCGTTGAATATAATGATTATGTTGACAACAATATTAAATTAAGAAGAAATAATTTTAAAAAAAGATAAAAAATAAAGAGTAGATAGCACCAGTGCGAAAAAAAAATAGAACGTTCGTATTGAAATAAAAATTTTGATTATAACTGTAAGAATCAGAGAAATACCTATTCTAATGATCGATTCTTCTGAAAAAACAAATCTACGAGCATTTTTTTTACATCCAGTATTCTGTGTTTGTTAAATGAGGCTAGAGGGTATATGTGAGTTCCACATTTTAGTTCCAAACAGGCTTCGCTAACAAGCTTTTCTCTCGATAATATCGATTTCTGTTTTTAATGATGTAAGATCAGCGTGTACTAGAAATTCGAGTTTGTGACACATCAATCAATTGATATCGTCATTAATATGATTTGTCTTTCATTTTGATCGGCTCTTAGAAGAACTGTACCACCACAGTTTTTTGGATCCAATTTAATTTCATAGAATAGATGATCTTCGTCACCACGCAAATAGTTTCAGGACTTTGTATGAATAACCTTGTTCAATAAGACAATTTTTTCATTTATGGCTAAATTATTCATTGAAACAGTTTCTTGAGAGACAGATAAAAAGGCAAGGGCATTATATTCTTCGACTTTAGTACGCGCTTTAGATTATTAGACTCGAGCAGGTCGCTCTGTTTCTTGCCGTGTCGATCTGAATATAATTTAAGTCTCAGGCTTTATATATGTTCTTAATATAAATCAATTTTGTAACTGTTACTCAGATAGTTTTCAATTTTACTGTGTTATAGATATATAAATTTATTTAAGTTGACCAAGATCTCAACTGTCTGTCTCATCCAATTTTATAATGAATTTTGATTGACCAGAATAAGAAACACACTAAATTCCCAACAAAAAGACGTTCAGATGAGAACGGAAAGATTGCAAATCTACAAAGTCGATTAAGAACAATGAATTCTATTTCTTCTCATTGAATAATTTCAATATTCATTAAATCATTTAAAACAAAAGTAATTAATTAATTGATCTTTTTTTAACAGAATCCTACTTTTTGGTAAAATCACTTGTGATTATTTTAGTGGATAGAAAGAAAATATAGCCAATAGGTATTGAGCGTGTGGGTGTGGGGTGAGAGTGTTGAAGAAAAGAACGCCCACATCCACATCCACATCCACATCCACATCCACATCCTAGGTATTCTTCCGGTCGTTGAGCGGTTGCTCTCTTCTGTCCCGTTTCCCCTTAGAGTAAAAATTTCGTCGAATCAACATGACATTATTATCATCAACGGTGATCAATCTATAGAATAAAATAGATGTGCGCAAGGTCACTGTGGCTGTTTGTAGTGGCTATACCATCGGATACATCAGCATCAAGGTCTTGGTGGGTTGAGATTTTTGGTTGTTTCAGCGCGGAAGAAGAATATAGGGAATACTTTATCGAAGCAAACAAAAATTAGTTAAGATATAGTCTTAGTTCTTCTTTTTTGTATGCCTATTGTGTTGACTTTAATTTGTATTTTTTTTGTTTATTTGGTTCAATGTAATTCTATACTGTTTTATACATGTGAAAGTTGTAACAATCCGATACTTTTGAAAATATGATTATCTTGTTTTAATAATTAGTTATTATTGTGCTATTGTTCAGATTATTTTATTGAAACTATTCATCCATCTATAACTAAATAATTTGTGAAACATACAGATGTCTTTTGATATTTTGTTGTTTCTATGATCTTTCTTTCTATGTTTTTACAAATCATCGGTGTCGATTGCGTATATACAGTACTGATTAGAATAGACATTCTTATCTTACTCTCGATATCTCATACATCTATCAGTTTTCTTCGTCTTCCTTTCAAAAACTGACGACCACTCATTCTAGGATTACATATCTATAAGCACAGTTCTCGAAATTGACAGAATATTCAAATTTCTTTTTTATTGAGGAATATAAATTGTCACCATAATTTATATAATAACGAATGTGACTTCAGAGCTACATGAACCGAATTAATGATTGCATAAATAGGAAAAGGATTTTCATATTACTTTTAAATATCGTAGCAGATTTAATCAGAGTTGAAGAAAGTTTTGAATGTACAGAGATATTTCAATATAAGATAATTTTACAAAGTTTTGAGATAGATCAGACGGCATAATAGGTTTACCGTAGATAAACTGTGGACAATTTCCGAGATGTTTCACAGATACTTGAAGATTTTCAACGCATTTCTCATAAATCTTCAATATTTTTCTCTGATATCTAATGTTGAATACATGTTAAGGTGATATTCAATATTCGTTCAGACATCCATCTGATTGTGTCTGTGTATAAGATTATAATATTCAACGGTCGTAAGTAATTTTCTTGGAGTAGATTTCAACAGAAGATATCAGGTATATTTAAATTTCTCTTTTTAAGTATATAATAAATTTGCTGTGTTATTATTAATGTACCTTTGTCAACAATAAAAGTATACTATTTGTCAAAAATAAAGAAATTTAGTTATATGTTCAATCGTTTTCATTTCTTTCTTTTACTAGATTAAATAAATTAAAAAAATGTCATTTCAATTATTGCACGGTAGTTTTACGATACCAAAAGTAAAACGTGATTCAACTCATACAACTACATCATCAACAAACTATCCTGCAATAGTGATTACTAAGGCGGATATACTTCGTATAATCTATAAATTAACAATATTGTTTATTGGTGATTCTTCCATTCGCACATTATTTCGTGATTTCATCAAATTACTTTCAAATAATCATTTATTAGAAAATACAGAAGTAGCAATACAATATGGTAATTACAAAGACGACCGTCTGCATTTTTGTGAATCTTCATCGACAATACTAATTTATATACATTTAGCAATTGTATATGGAGAATCACCTATCGAAAGCATTAATTATTTACAAACAATAACTGATTGTACATATATTCATGCAACTATTTTCTCATCGTATCATGGCAATCTAAATTTGTACGCTATTTTATCTTTCTTAACCTATTATTTGCACTTAAAACATAATTTTTTATAGCATTAAATTAAGTAAAAATGAATCATCATTTGAAAATCTTCTAGAAAATTATAATGATGATTTAAATAAAATATGCATTCATCTTATAGAAATGTATGGAAGTAAGAGAGATCATCATCAACAGCATATTTATATGGGACCTTATCCACCATATATCACATTGATCGACGAAGAACAAAATCAAATTATTAATAATACTGATGAAATTGTTGGCAAACATGGTTTTCATACATTTAATCGTACGTTATATTGGAATAAGACTCATTATGAATTATTATTGTCAAATTTCCATTATTTTTCACCAAAATGTAAGTTTTTGGAATTTTCTGTTCAATTATATTTATATCATTGCCTTTTATTTTTATTTTTAAAACAGGTGTACGTTTAATGGCTCAATTTCTTGCTAGAATCATCGGCAATAAATCGGGGTCGGCCAATAACTATTCAAGCAACAAGAAAAACAATAATAACAATTGAAAGGTAATCAACACCATTACAAATTCTAGAGCATAGCTTAAAAGCTTCTCAAGATTCATCAACAAAGGTTAAATGGTCAAATTCAACATTATCAACAGAGCGTTATAATCCGATGAATCGTATTACTCGAAAAGTTTTTCTTTAGACATTGTCATTTGTTTTTTTTTCCTTTGTACTATTTTGAAACAAGAAACGGAACATAAAGAAATTTGCTCACCATTCAACTATATAAACTATTCAATCATACATTCTGTTTGTAGATTTTATTGTTCTTAATAAATAATGACTAATTCCGTAATAAAACACGATGGCTCAACTAAATACTTGTCCTTTATGTCATCAACTAGTTAATCCACATGCCAATGATGGTATTTTTCAATATATATGCGGTCATTTAGAACATGGATAGTGTTACTTTTAATACCATCCTCATAATCGAGTACGTTCTGTCTGCAAAACCTTTTCAGATAAAATACATTTCAGATAAACTTCTATGTATTTGTTTTGTTCTGATTAAATCTGGAAATAAACTTGTTGAGAGAACAACATGTCTCTTATTTTTTTCTTTACCTTTCTAGATTTTATCTGTCCTCTATCAATATTTCTCGTACATTATTCTTCATTTATTACTTTTTCAATTATTTGTTTGTTATGTCATTATATTGTTCTTACGAATGATGATAATAGAAAATTTATTCAATATATGTGTGGACACTGTGTTTATCAAGCATTTTTCGATAGGTGAAGTCAACATCATCATAGAATTTGTCATAAATGTAAATTAACATAATGAGTTTTGTATTTTGGGTAGGTTCATTGCTAATATAACTTCAAAATAATTGAACAAAACTATTGTAATCTATACCGCTGCTATTTTACAGATGATACATCATTATTATTAACATTCAATGTGCATACTTTTCTCTATTTCTCTACAAAATAAAAGCTTGTCATTTATATAATAGAAGAATTAGTGAATGACTCTATTTTCTTTTTTCATTTTCAAAAATAAAATCTTGTCTATTTCTTTGCATATCTTTGTTCAAAAGTTTTAAAAAAATACTCACTATTATTTTCCATAACAAACGGATTTCTTCTTTTCCCTTCTGTTACATCTTCTCAAATGTCTTCATCATCCGAATCATCACAATCAAGATCATCGATAGTGGAAAATATTGAAATTCAAACTAAGCAAATGCATAACAATGAATTAATGCAGATCCAACAGGATAATATTATTTGACCTCATTCAATATTTCATCGTATAATGAAAAATGATTTAGATAAGCATCAGACAATAAATAGTCAAAGAAATTACTAAAGAACATGATGAATTGTCAACATTACTAATCATAGTGGAAACAATAGCACCTATTGTAGATAACTCATCAACAATAGAATTACCTATTTATTTTGATCCAGAACAAGATCTATTGATTCAAAATAGTTCTTATTTCATGGAGAGCTTTTACACTACCGAAGAACAAATGTAACAAGAAAGATTTTCAATTAATTTTTCTTTCACTCTATTTTTATAAACAAAAAAATAAAGTAAAATAAAATCTGTGTACCCTCATTCACTTATTCAAAAACACTTTGTTATTTCTGCAGTTACCATCAGATGATGTTGATGTATATGAACTATATGAAAAGAATAAAAATTCTAGATTTAATACATAACTCGTTTTGGTCAATTACATTCTATTAATTTCAAATGGCTGTTCCTACACAATCATCGTCATCATCAACAATAGAAATTAAAGATGTTACATACGAAGCCGAAACAAGTGATTATAATAGAAGAATGTTACATTAGAGGAACACATCTATTCCTGACCAATATTACAAAATAATGGTTAAGACAGCTTTAATCAATCAATTGGTCAAGCGAAATGTCGAAGTTAATGAAGAAGACAATCAGCTCATGATGAAGTCGTCAAGTAGAAAGCGTAAACCCGACGAACACGATGAAGAAACTAAAGATGAATCAGATATTAAGTAACATACATCTGCACAAAAATATGATTCAACACAAACGACATCAGATGATTCTGAGCTAATACTGCTCAGTAATGATTACTTCGAACATACCGATGAAGAATTCGAATCAGGTCATACCTATGCCATCCAACCTTTTTATGATACAAATAACACATCAATCAGATCAATCCTTCATAAACTTTAACAACAAAATGTAAGAATAATTAAATAGTATCTCACTTTGTATGCAATTTCTTTCTATATTCTAGTTTCTTATCGTCTTATCAAAGATTATCAATCATTAATACAATTGAAGAATATTTTATATTAGCTTAACTTTAATTTTACTGCTTTCTTTTTGTTCTGGATGTGGGCGTTGGTATGAGAAGAGCAATGATACCCATACCCGCCCACACCCCATCATTTCTGACGAAAATGGACCTTTTTTAGCAGCGGGGGGAGGCTTTTCACATCCTAGCGTGCTCAAAAGTATACGCATCAATCTTTTCCCAAACTCTATGAATGGGATAATAAGTTTCAGCTACATAAAACGAAATTTTATAATCATTAAAGTTTCATAAGATAATCAGGATACACATTGGATTTCGCAAGTTACCAAGGCGGAAAAGTCCGCGCACTTGATTATATCGAGTGCTTCAGAAGAGATGGATAATTTTTCATGCGAAATTCTTTGATATATATTATCTCAATAACGTTTGTGTTTTGATGGAAAACATGTACCGTAGAATCTTCTACAGAAAGTGCATTTAATGTTATACTTTACATGTAAAAATGAAAAGCTGCATAAAAAAAATATTAAGAAACAAACAAACTATTCAATTTTTCCAACAAATAATGAGATTTTGTTTTCAATTTTTTTTCTGTATACTGATACATGAACATCTAACTATTCACTTCGTAGCGATTGACAATCTCTATGTTCAGTTATAATTAATGAAAAATGGCTCCAAAATCAACTCCAAATGAATTTTTTTAATGCTTTTTTGTTAAAGCCATTACTTTTGAACTGAAGATTCGCATTATGATAGAAAAATTTTACAGCACTTCTAGAGCAGCACACCCTGAATTTGAATTTGTTTCATTTGCAGAGAAATAAAAGACCTGCTGTATTCAATTAGAAGACGTTCCGTACCCTTTTCAGATCAAATAGTGTCGTTACATTCAATAGGCTGAATGAAATGATCAAATTTCACATGCTATTCAGCTTAGTTTAAAAAAGTTATCATTGCTTTTGTAATGCTAAGTGATGACGAATTCTGTGAGATACTAGACGGAATAGCGAATTTTACAGCATCACAGACCTTATTTGCCCGCATATTAGATATACTAAAACATCGTTTAGAAGTTTTACGGCTTGAGCATTTCTATTTTTTTCTTTCAGCATTTGCTTGTGAATTTTTTAAATGCAACTTTCAATGCAATTTTCATAGAAACTTTCACGGCGCATCTTTTGTCATCAGGAGTGCCATGTCGATGGACTTGTCCTACATATTGGTTTTCTTTTATTTATTACCTTCTGATTTGTTTGTATTTTGACGAGTAGCAATTTTTAATTCGTGGCGGTGATTTATTGCGTTGTCGTAGCTTCCCAAAGATATTCAAAAATGGTTTAAAGTCAACAAAAACGAAAAGTAGCATGATAATTACTTATTGTATGAAGCCATCATATTGCATTACCTTTCAATGTCGCAGCCATTATAGATGATCTATATTCGAATTGGTCAAAGTGTGATGATCATTTGTATCTATAGTAGTGTTTTTGGAAAAAAAGGAGAGTGCAGCTCAAATAAACAATATTTTTGTCTATCAACTAACGTTAGTCTCATATTCGGCCACTTGAAAACTTTCAGAGGGCGCTACACTGACTCCATTTGATATTGATTGGCGTAAATATACATCTTTTTCTTTTCTGTCGTTATGCTTGTAAGAGAAAAAGTAAAAAAAGTAGTTACACTTCAATAGTTTCTGTCTTGTCAAAACAATTTTTTTTGCTTAAGACGCGCTTCAAAAGTGACGTTACTTTTCCTTGTATCGTTAGCAAGTTTGTTTTTTTCTCTTAACGACATTAAACACTACTACATAATATTCTAAACTTCTTCACTTTTTAATTATAACAATATCATCTTCCACAACTTAGTATTTCTGCACAATATGCAAGACCCTGATTCATATACACCTTGTCATGTACACGAAAATTACTGTATAAGTAAACACAACCTTTAGTGACTTATTCATACAGATACGAAAAACGAAGAATTTTCATGGATCTAGGACAATTTGACGGTTAAATACATTAATTAGAATTTTTAGGTCTAAACTAATGTCAAGAGAAGAATTCGTTTAAACGCATTGAATTTCTCAAAAAACAAGAAATTAATGAGTAGCTGTTGAACATTATAATACCCGTTCAGTAGAATGCGTGTAAGATGATCTTTCCATGCTGAGACGCGTCATAGTCAGTCAAGGAAGGTTCTGGAATCTTATAGAACCTTCTGGGCCTTGCTATTACTATTATTGAGCATCTTTAATCTTGTTTGCTAAGATCTGTAGTGGGGAGGGTGAACAGAGGCCATGGGGAGCCACAAAAAAATCAATTAAAACTATCACTCAAGATATTTTCTTCGACAACATATGTGAATTCCACAAAATGACAGCCACAAGAATTTAGCTATAAGAGGATACGTGTAATCGGACTCGCCTAAAGACTAATAAGGGGAACTCATCAGGTGCCCTCCTGAGCTTTCAATGAATTTTTCTCCATAGATACTACATATTATCCTTCATTATAAATCTAAAAGGGTTTGAGTACATAAAGCTTCCTTCAAAAATTATGCATAATTGTATTTTGTTCCGATAGGTCAAAATATACAATAGATAAGAGACGATCTTTGATACGAATTCTTGTCTTCGATTTAATTATCTCAAACGTTAGACCATTATTAGAATACTACAAACCTAAAATATTAGCTTTTTCTGACTTACCTATGAAAAAAGCCGATATATACAAGTTATACACTCCTCAGTACTTGGTCCAAAAAAAGCAGTTTTTTATTGTGCGAGTCCGCAGATGTCTCAAAACGTACACAAATGTTTCTTCTACAAAATTAACTAGCTAAAGAGAGAAGATCTCTAAGTGTGAATTACCGTTTCGATTGGGAGATATCCCAGTTTCTAGAACTTGGCGAGCTGATTCTCGTGGTATGATACATTTTTCCCCAAAGAGCTTCAAATATGAAAAGCTGATTGGTTTTGCTAGTGAATTTCTACACTAAGAATAAGTTTCGAGACAGTTGTTAGGAATTTGAAACTTCAAAGGTACTTAATTTTTAGATGGCCATCTTATAGAATAGAGAATGCCGCATGCGATGGTCTATTTTTATGCTATTTACAAAGAATCAGGGAGCACTATTGTTACGATCTTCATCTTCTTTAGATGCAGTCATAAGGGCTTTTTCCTGTTTATTCATAGGTTTATACATATATACTTATGTTCTTTTTTCTTCTTTTCTCTTATTGCTGGTCATGCACCATGGGTTTTTTCTTTCCTTTCATATATGTTGCAATTTTCCCTCACGTTCTACTCTTCTTTCTTTCATGTTGTTCTATGGATGTTTCCTTCCTTTGTTCATCGTTTATGGGAGTTTTCATTAGGAATTTTCCATCACATGTTATCACTCTATATATAGCTTTACGTTGTTGCGTAGAGAATGATTGGGATTGGAAGAGAGATACAGCTATAGAAATAAAGTAGAAGGGGAATTGAGATCTCACAAGTATTTTCTTGTAAAACTTATTTTCACCATTACTATAAATTTTAATTGTTGAACTATTACACTGGGAGGTATTTGAGCACTTCCGAGAGAAACTGTTGTTATGTATTGAGAAGATAAAGCTGAGGTTACTCTCAGAATAATATAAAAAATAGATCATCGCATGCGGCATTTTCTGTTCTATAAGATGACCATCTAACAATTAAATACCTTTGACGTTTCCAATTCCTAACAACTGTCTCGAAACTTATGCTGAGTAGAGAAATTCACTTGCAAAATCAATTAGCTTTTCGCATTTGAAGTTCTATCGAGAAAAACGAACCGTACCACAAGAATCAGCTCGTCTAGCTCTAGAAGCTGGGATATCTCCCATTCGAAACGGTGATTCACACTTGGGATCTTCCCTCGTAAGTGATTTCTACAACGCATTTTACCGATTTACAACACCAACATGCGAGCAAAAGTATACTTGACTGTTCTCCAAATTTCTAATTTGTTTTGCCTCTGACAACAGTCGGTCAAGTTATTCCTAAATAGTTTTCATATTTTGTGAAGACGCTTGCAATTCTCCATGGTATAGGGTGTTTATTCATTATACTAAAACATCAGTAAAAAAATGTTGTCCATGTCACAAATGTTGATGAGCAAAGGTCACATCTAATAAAGATGGCCCTCAACCATTGAAATTTTAGCAATGTACTAATTTTAGTTAGCAGATTTTTAATAATTTGAACTTTTTCTTGAACAGTATCAAAATTTCAAGGGCTTTTAGAAGAACGTACAGAAAAGTGTAAAATACTAAGGATCAACAGAAAATTGAGTTTTTTGACCTAGTGCTAAGGATTACATAACTTGTATATATCGACTTTTTTCATAGATAAGTCAGAAAAAGCTAATGTTTCGGATTTGAAGTATTCTAATAATAGTCTACCGTTTGAGATGATTCAATCGAAGATCGAAAGTCGTGTCACAGATCCTCTCTTATCTATTGTAGATTTTGGCTTATTGCGATAAAATAAAAATGTGCATAACTTTGATGGGAGTCCTATGTACTTGAATCCTTTTAGGCTTTTTAATCGGCACAACATGTAATATCTATAGACAAAAAATTCATCGATAGCCGAGGAGAGCGCCTACGGAGCTTATCTTGTACGTTGAAAACCTATATCTCCTACGGTGTAGACATAAAAATATAGAAATAGTAATGCAGTAATAATAAACCAGATATAAGAAATAAGAAATTATGCAAAAAAGAGCTAAGTATAAAAATAAGATATCAAGTAGACAAATGAAGATCAACCTAGTGCAACTGATGGATGGATGGCACGAAATCTTTCGAAGAGAACCTTATTTTTGGTTTGGTACGAAGCCTCTCCTATGAAACCTTTTGCAAAGTTTGCCAGAAACGATTTGATACATGATATATTATCTATGAAACGAAAAGGACTTCTAGTTTGGATCCAGATGAAAATACTTTTTTGGTTTCGTAATGGACCTGCTTTTTACAGAGCATCCATTTGCCATAGCACAGCCACACGCATCTAATGCTATATGTTTATTGTAGAATAACCCATCGATAGAAGATGAATCGATATACAGAATTTGAATGTGAAAACAAAAATCTAAAGCCAGTTGCTGGTTACTGGTTTCATCAACTGGTTTCTCTCGAAGAAGCATTGAAGCCTCTCTTGTCCGAAATCAATGAATTACAACGTTCTATCAAGGAAGCTAAAAAGCATTGCACTTATCCATCACAAGATAATCTCACTCGTGATGAATCTGCTGCTTTATTATTATATACTATGGAAGGTGGCGACTATAGTTTTTATCGCCACTTGAATCAAATACTGAGAAAGGAAGATCGGAATAAGATAAAGCCATGGTTTGGTTATCTCAAACTATTCGACAAGGCACTCAATAAACTGCCTACAGTAAAAGGTATCGTTTGGCGATCTGTACCTGGCAATGTCGCAAATAATTATAAGAACAACGAACTATTGACTTGGTGGAGTATTACTTCCTGCTCGTCATCGGCAGAGGTCGTGAAAGCATTTTTAACACCAAATCAAGAAGCAACACTTTTCATGATTGAAGCTGTAAATGGAAAAAATCTTGCTGATTATACCATGTTTCCAGGTGAACAAGAAGTTATATTGGGAGTTGGAACTCAATTACGCGTCAAAGATATCGGATTCCAACATGGCAATCTGTGGGTAGTACATTTGGTAGAAGTAAATGACAATGTTGATGATGATCAGAAAAAATTAGAAGCACCTATACCTACAACATATGAAACACCAAAACCATTTAAACCTAATAGCCAAGCAATGCTTCGTAAGTCACTCATCTGTTTCCCTTGTTTTTACTAGAAATGAAAGGAGAACAAACTGAAACGATAAAGTCGATGTAAATGTGTGGTGGAATTATGAGTGCTACTGCTATATTTCTTTCTAGTGACATGCAAACTCTACAAACAAAAGCTTTTGTCGGAATCCAGTGAACAGTTTCCGAGTTTGCCACCATATGTAACTCTTAATAGGTTTTCTGTCAGCAGAAATTCTCGCAATTTTGAAAATCACTCACAATTAGCGCAGAATGTGTCCGGATACTTAACACCCCTGTCACTCCTTCCTCAAAAAGCAATTTCGATTCATAAGCCTCGAATAGTTTTTTCTATATT